CTTTCTATAGTACTTTTACTATAGTTTAATTACTTTTTTAGTAAGACTAGCTTTTATAAAGCTTTTTCTCTTACTAAGAGCTAAATTAAGCTAATCTACTTTATAAAAGTACCTTTTATAGTAGACTTAAAAGAGAGTAACTCTAGTAGTAGAGTAAATACTATTATTATATATAAACTCTTTAATAAATATCTAGTGTACTTAATTATTTTATTTTAAAAAGTAATAGTAGTAAAAGTACTACTCTAAAGTCTAGTTTTATCTTTTAGTTTAGCTATTAGTCTAAGAATAAAAAGTAAAAGTAAGAACTTTTTTAGTATTAAAGTAGTAAAAAAAAAAATTCTAATACTTAGAGTTTATTAAAAAGCCTTAATCTAAGATAATATACTTTAGTATACTATAAAGTTAGATAACTTTATATATTTAGGTCTATACTAGGTTAGTACTATTCTAATTAGCTTATACTAGTACGTAATAGACTATTTTAGTTAATCTATCTATAATAACTAGTATAGTGTTATACTTTATGCTAGAAACTATACTAAGTAGTAGTTTTATAATAAAGTCTATTATTATTTTTTTCTAAAAGTAGTTAAGTATTAGAAAAGGCTATAGTAAGCTATAAAGCTTATACTTTATAAAAGTAGACTTCTTATATATAAAGTAATTCTTATAGTATTACTTTATATTTTTATATATACTTTTCTAAAAGTAGCGCTTTTATAGCTTTTTTAAAGTATATTTTACTTTAAAGTAGCTTACTAAAGAGTTATTATAATATTTTTAGAGAGCTTATAACTTTTTTTTAGTAGTTACTAGTATTCTTACTATATAATAGCGCGTTTTAGCTTTATCTAGACTAAACTAGTTATTTTTAGACTTAGACTTATCTAAAGTACCTAAGAAGATATAATCTATCTTATTATACTTCTCTAGAGTCTAGAGCTCTAGTATAGTATATTTACTAGCCTAGTTAAAGCTTTCTAAGCCTTTAGTAAAGTTTTATTATTTCTTAGTACGCTTAGTAAAGTGCGTTTATACTATAGCTACTAAAAAAGAGATTTTATTACTATTAGTTATAAGATCTTTTATAGGCTAAATAAAAGCTTTATTATACTTCTAGGTAGGTTTTTAGACTTCTACTATATAGTTAGAGTAGTAAGAAAATCTATCTATAAAGTTAGTAGACTCTACCTTATAGTAGATATTAAAATTAAACCTAAATAGTATAATATAAAACCTAACTTATTAATAGTTAAGAGTTTTAGTTTTTATAAACTATTTTAGATTCTAATAGTTAGTCTAGAGGTTAAAGTGTACGCTCTTTAGATATTAGCGCTAATACTTTAGGCTCTTAACTATTATAAGTAGCTTTTAGTTATATATATTATAATTATACTCTACTATAATAAGCTTACGTAAAAAGAAGTTAACTAGGTACTATTAGTACTTTCTAGCTTTATTTAGTATATATTAGCTTAATATACTTATAATTATACTATCTAAAATATTTATCTTAGCTTTAGTTTTTCTATTTTACTTAAAGTAAGTTAAGATAGAAATACTTAGAAAAAAGTCTTTTAGCTTTTAAAAGGCCTCTTTAGCTTTCTTATTAAGATTAAGAATTTAACTCTCTTCTCTTTACTAAGCGTAGCTACTTTTAGCTACTTCTAGCTTCTTTTAAATTAGTTTAGTTAATAGTAGAGTAAGTTAAAAGAATCTAGTAATAAACTATTTATAGTAGTTTATAAAGCTAATAAATATCTAAATCTTACGCACTATACGTAGTTTAGGCTATTCTTAGATTATCTTAATTTTATTTTTATTAATTTATATTTCTTTAGAGAAAACTATATATCTAAAGTACTTAGTATACTAGATATACTACTTACACTTTAGAAGCTTTAAAAATAGCTTTATATTATATAATCTATATAAAACTTTATTAATATAGCTTTTATACTTCTTTTTAGTATTAAAAAAGATAAGAATATTATTTAAGTATATAATATAAGTTATATTAATTAATTCTATAAAAACTTAATAGATATAAGTTTAAAACTACGTAGAAGTATTTATAAAGCTAAAAAGTATTATAGTATACTTAAAACTACTATATCTTATATAGAAAGTAGTTTTCTACTTATTACTTTTTTTAATATATACTTTATAGTAAGCTTCTTTTATATTAAGTTTAGTATAAAATTTAGTACTAGCTAATCTTTCTAGAGACTTTATAATAAGTAGTAAAAAGTACTAATTCTTAATAGTAACTTTATTAAAGCCTCTATAGTTAATATATAAATATATACTACTATCTTTCTTTTTAGTAAAAAGTATAAGTACCTTTACTAGAGACTTACTATACTTAATCTACTTTTATACTAAGTATTTATCTAAATACTTATATAAAAGCTCTAACTTTATTTTAGAAAAGTTATATAATAGCTAGTAAAGCGCTATAGTTCTAAGTAGTAAGTTAATAGCTAAGTTTTATAGACTATAGTTAGTAAAAACTTTTAAGTTATCTTTTAATTTAAAGTACGTAAACTTAGTATATTATAGAGGTAAACTACTCTTTTTAGCTCTTTTTAAGCTAAACTAAAGTATTAAGGTAATAAGATAGCTATATATATTTACTATAGAATTACGTATAGTCTTTTTAAACTTCTTAGCCTTTTCTAGTATAATCTTTCTATAAATAGTTTTATTCTTAGACTTAGTACTCTAAAAGAGTAGCCTCTATATAGAGTAGCTAATTTTTAAATAATATATATTTATTTAAAGTAAATCTAAGTATATCTAATACTTATAAACTTTTATAATAATATATAGAATATTCTAAGTTTTTTATTTTTTATAAGAATCTACTACTTTTATAGTTACTATAGTAGTGCTATAAATTTTTAATTCTTTACTATTTACTCTTTTTACTAATAGCTTAAGTAAAGAGTAAACTAATAAGCCTTACTTTACTATAAGTAATACTAAAATAAAGTTTAACTAGAAACTTCTATCTACTAGAGCTTTAATAGGCTTTAATTAGCTAAGTAATATCTTTACTATTAGTAGCTTTACTAGCTTTAAGTAAAGCGTATTATAAAAGAGTTCTAAGTTCTAGAATACTAGGTCTAAAGTAATATAGATAGCTAAAAAGAACTTTAGCTTCTTTACTTACTACTTTTTTCTAATTCTTAACTAAATAAGCTCTTAAAGTCTCTCTTAGGCTTTAAATAGTTCTTTTAAAAGTATTTAGTCTTATTATATTTTTAATAAGTTATATTAGAGTCTTTTAGACTATTTTAGTTTAATTTAGCTAGTTATAAGTTAAATTTTACTAAACTAGCCTTTTTAGCTTTTTTCTAAGTCTAAGAAAGCTTTAAAAAAAAGTTTTAGGCCTAATAGCTATAAGATTTTTTTTTATAAGCTAGATACTTAGAAAGTATAGTAGTATACTTTATTTTACTCTAATAGTAGTAAGCTAAAGTATTAAGCTTAGAGACTATATTATAGTCTTTCTAGTTTTAAAGTAAAAGTTCTTTTTAAATATTAAAAAGAAAAGCGCTTATAAAGTTTATATAGTACTACTTTTTTAAGTAGTTATTTAGTTTACTCTAAAGCGTATTAAAGTAGACTAAAAAAGAGTTAGAATTCTAATTTAGCTTCTATTTAGTCTACTTAAGTTTATTATAAACTATAAAGTACTATAATAACTTAAAACTAAGTATATTAAGTATAACTACTTTAAGTTTCTTTTAGATAGATATTTAAAACGCTTTAAGCTTTATATAGTTCTAGAAGTAGATATTTTAAGTAAAGTAAGTAGTTTTATTAAGAAATCTTATAGTAAAGTTTACTTTTTAGATACTTATTAGAAAGATAGAAAATACTTCTTTAAAAATAGTTTTATAATTATATACTTAGTAGTTATACTATAAGTAATTATATATAGTAAATATCTCTAAGTTCTTAGAGTATAGAGCTTCTAAATTTAACTAGAACTTATCTCTTATAGTTAAAGTATAGTAAATAATATTTACTTTAAGAGCTAAGTAGTTACTTATAAGTACTTTATACTTTAATTCTCTAAGATAAGCTATATCTTAATAAGTATACTTTAATTATTTCTACTTATATAACTTTTTAAGTTTATAAGTTAAAGTAGCTTATTTATCTTTACTTTTAGTAGTAGTAGTTTATAAAAGCTTAGTTAGCTCTAAAATAAACTTTAATAGCATATTACTATCTCTAATAATTAAGACTAAGTTAGTAATATTTAAAAAGGCTTTTAATAAGTTTATAAGTTTCTTAGTAGATAGTATTACTACTTCTAAAGATATAAAAGCTAATTTCTTTTAGTTATTATTTATTACGCGTAAAAATAGTATAGCTTACTTACTACTACGTTATATTACGCTAAAGAGACCTACTTTAGAGCTTATTATATCTAAATAGTATATATAAAAGTATTATAAAGTAAAGTAATTTAAATATTAAATAATAGAGTTAGTTAAATACTAGATATATAATATTAAACTATAATTAGATATATTATTTTAAAAAGACTAGAGATAAATTACTACTAAGCTATAATAGTAATTCTAAGATATTTATAGCTAATGCTAAGTTAGCCTAGGCTCTTTAGAGCTAGAACCTAATAATAAAAAGTAATATACTAACTTTAATAGTATATTAGCTATATACTAAAAACTTTATAATTTAGTAAAAAAGAAAAATAGTAGTAAGAATATAACTATAAGTACTTTTATATAACTAAGTTCTAGCTCTTAGCTAAAATAAAGAATGTATTTGTTCGCTGCTATTATTGTTGTGCAGGTGCGGGGCCGAACTCCGCGCTAGTCACCCGCTCCCACCGCAGCTGAGCACCGAATTCTAGGATATGACCAAACACCGCTTTGTCGAACGTGGCGGTATGTCGGCTGCAAAGAACTGTTTGTACGGTCCATGATATGAAGTCTTCCACCGAGACACTTCATCCCATGCATACCGGAGACAGCCCAATCAAGTCGTGGCTACCGCATCCGCTTGAGAGACTACTCAACTACTACGCCCCTGCGGACCCGTCATATCATCGTATACCCACAGACAAATCCCGCGATAACACTGCTCATCGGCGTGGTCTTTCGAAGAGCATGGTTTACGGAGTTCTCCTAGGCGCATTGGTCATCGGCGGCGCAGGCTCGGGCTGGTACTTCAATCAACGTACCGGAAGAGGTGAGTTCCCGAGCTTGTACGAAGCCGATATTGAGACGGTGACCAAGGGCTTGGAATGTAACGATTACACCAGCGTAGATCTTGTCAAGGCAAGTTGCTGGCATTCAACACCTTCACCGAATTCGTTGCTTAACGCTGCCAAACAGACTTACATCGCTCGTATCAATGAAGTGAACGATTTATTGCGCCCAGTCATCGAAGCCAATTCTGATGCGCTGGATATCGCGACTGCACTTGACCATGAGCGCTCGAAAGGTATGGTGCGAGGGTGAGTACAACGTTTGCGATACTCACAATATCCGCTGACTTTCAGACCGATGCATGGCATCCCTATACTCATCAAAGATACGGTGAGTAATTTATTTCAACTGAAGCCACATGGATCTGCAGTTCCAAAGGTTAACACTGATATCAGATCGCCACGAAAGACAAGATGAACAACACCGCTGGTTCTTACGCGCTCGTCGGAGCTAAGGCTCCATCTGATTCGACTATCGCGAAGAAGCTCAGAGAGGCAGGTGCCATTATCCTGGGAAAGACAAATCCTAGCGAGTGGGGCAGCTTCAGGATACCATGGGATTCGAGTAACGGCTGGTCAGCCTATGGTGGACAGACATATGGAGCGTTCTATCCTCATCAAGACCCGTCTGGTAGTTCCAGCGGAAGTGCGGTTGCAGCTTCGTGAGTACACTCTTTGATTGAAAGATACTGACTGACCATAGAAGGCTTGGTTTAGCTACTGTCACCTTGGGCGGCGAGACCTACGGGTCAATCATCGACCCCGCCAGTGTCAACAATGTCGTGGGAATGAAGCCAAGTACACGAAATTGAACCTAAGAACGAGTTACCTTCTGACTCAAGATAGCCGTTGGATTTACATCTCGGCACCTCGTGATACCAATCAGCGAGCGCATGGACACCATCGGCCCCCTAACGAAAACCGTCAAAGACTCAGCCTACGTTCTCCAAAGCATCGTAGGCACCGATGTATACGACAACTACACCTCTACTATACCAGACAACGTCGACAAAGACTTTGTCGGCGCCTGCGAACTCACCGCACTCAGAGGCGCACGACTAGGCGTCCCTCGCAATGTGATCAACCTCATGTGGGACAACACAACAGCCTCCACAGTCGCGGCATTCAACAACACCCTTGACATCCTCCGCTCGTCCGGCGCAACAATCCTAGAAACCGACTTCCCAGCCGCCCAAGCCTTCCTAAACGACACCCTCCTAGCCCTACAAATCATGTCCGCCGATTTCGTCGTAAACATCGAGTCGTACCTCAAACAGCTCACCCACAACCCGCACAACATCTCCACCCTCCTCGAACTACGCGCCTGGACACGCCAAAGCCCACTAGAAAGCTACCCCGGCAAATCAACAAGCGTCTGGGATTTCGCGCTGGAAAACTGGAACAACACAACCCCGGAATTCTGGCAGGCGTACCAAAAAGGTCTGTACTATGACACCGAAGGAGGGTTACTTGGAACGATAAAACGGCACGGTCTCGATGCTGTTGTCTTACCGTCGAAGTTTTCTTGGTATTTTGCTGCGGTTGCTGGGGCGCCGGTTGTGAGTATACCGATGGGGGTTATGGGGGATGAGCAGCCGGTTGTGGTTGATCCTGATGGGTTGGTGGGGTCGGCGCCGGGTATTCCGTTTGGGTTTAGTTTTTTGGGGGAGAAGTGGAGTGATGCGAGGATTGTTGGATTGGCGTATGCGATGGAGCAGAGGACGCGCGTGAGGGGGAAAGTGAAGCCGGTTGTTAGGCCATGGACTGAGTTGGGGGATGTTGTTGGGAGGAGGTAGATGGTCAGCTTCATATCCTAGGTCTTGATTCTGATCGAGATCAAAGCAGTCTGCGCACTGCGTAAGCATCCGATGCTCTTCTCTTCACGTTGGCTGCGCAACTTTGTCAGTATTGGAACAAGTGTGTGGAGCCTACCAGATGTCTTTCCATACAAGTGACGAAAGGTGGATCTCTAAGGGTACACGAAGCGAACAGCGTTTTGGCAGCGGCCACCTGGGGTCTACAACATAATCATGCCACGACATGCGTAACTACTAGAAATTGCAATGGGCCGATTCTACAATCCTTTCAGTCCGCATCGGTCCATAGTTGCAGATGCAGGTACTGATGCGAATGCAAATGCAGGAACAACCCCCGGACCCACTACAGAGCAACCGCAATCGAAGGAACGCACAACGGCGCCGAAAAGCCGTCACGCACCGCACCCCTCCGTCGGCACGATCCCAGACAGACTAGACGACATAAAAGACTACGTACGCGGCGTCAGCAGCTACATCCAATGGCTCCAAGGCCTCACCGAACACGAGCGATCGAACGTCACCCGCGTCACGGAGATCAAGCGCGAACTGAAGAGTGCGCACCGCGATCTAGAGAAGCTCGACGCGAATTTATACTGCGAAATTGGAGATGAGATTGAGGCACTGGTCAAAGATGCCAAAAGCCATGCTTGGCGGTCGTATAAAAACGTGGTCAAGCTGGAGGAGAGGCTGAGAGGGCCGAAGAGCGGCGGCGATACCGGCGTGAAGTTGCGCAGGATATCGGGCCCGCAGAATGGAGGGAGGAGGAATACGTCGACGGATAATGGGAAGGTTGAAGCGTATGTTCGCGGGGAAGCGGAGGGAGAGAAGCAGGCGTTTGATGACGCTCTTGACGTGCGTGGACGGCCTGTTGAAGGCGACCACTACGAAGATACGTACCTCATGTCCGGTGGCCTACCAGTTGGAGATATACAACCGCAAGTTGCAGTTCAGAGAGCAGGACGCGCCAACGCATTCGAGGCGCTGAGACAACTACCGCGTCTCATCATCCACGGAGCGCCGTCGCAATGCTCGGAGAGCCTACACCTACCTACAACGCATCCCCTCAAGTTCCCGCAACCGAGAGACGAAGTCAAGCTGCGCGTACAAGAAGAGGAGGCTAACATGGATCCTGTTCTGCGCAACCCGTACAAAGAGCGCCGAGGTAGCTGCAACGGCTTCATGATTACTGAGATGACGATGCAAGGAATCGAGGATGCTCGCTTCGTTTTGCCTTATCTGCATTACATGAAGCTTCACGAGCTGCGTGCGATCAAAGAGTGGCTGAGCAATGCAGGCTTCATTGCGAGCTCGGGTTCGATGAGTCGCATGGAGAAGGCGCTCCTGTGTATACAGCTCCTGCAGACTGGCTGTCGATACGAAACGCTGGCTGTGATCCACTCGCGCTCGCCGCGCCAGGTCATGGAGTCGTGCAACGAGGTCATGCGAGCGTTGCTGCAATGGCATCGGATGACGGTCGACGATGGCGACATAGGAGATCAGGCCGAATACATCGTTCTCTGGGGTATCTGGCACAAGTACGTCGTCTCTGATGGAAGAGCAGGGCTGTACTTTGGTTTCGACTGGACGTGTCTCGCCAAAGTCCTCGTCGCACTCAATGTGTACATGGGCCGCTGGCGCATGCAAGGCAAGTTCGCCATGGACGGTCCTGCATTTGCATGGGGCAAGTTCTTCGTGCCGGCGGTCGATGGCAGAGAAATCCCGGATACGATAGATGGAAACCACGGAGAGCGTAATGACGCCGAGAGGAGGTCTCTGGACGAGGTGGCTCGGCGGGGTACAACTGTGTGAGAGGAAGCACAGACGGGTGAAGGACTCTTTTTGGCGCGGTCAAACGGCCTTTTCCCTCAGGACGCAGCACGGCAATTCGGCTCGTATAGAGTGGCGCGCAGGCCGGCAATGGTGGGCCATGACGATGCGGATCCATTAAGCGTTTAGGATTCGTGCTCCACATCGTATCGCTATCGCAGCGGCATATCGCATGGCAGCGCGAGTGGCGTAGAGAGCAGACGGTCGCTTCAAGGGTCGCAGTGCAGCGTGCCTGGTGTTTCACAATCTCCTTGGCTCCCGGCCTGGCGCAAAGCCACCCGCGGTATGCAGGTGAGACACGATAGCGCGAGGTCGCACAAGCGGCTGGGGGAGTCGTTTGCGGCCTGCTCGAGACCAAACGACGGCAACGGACAGCGAGTGAGGCGAGTGCAATATTCAATGAACAGATCCCCAGCCAGCAAGCCATTGAATGCACAAAGCGCTCAGGAGAGTCGCTATTCTCGGGGATCGACAAGCGCCGTTTGTAGTTTAAGGTCGGCCGACCAATGGCGAGCGGCAGGGAGCATTTGTGCACTAGACGACTCCTTAAATCTGCGTGCAGGGCAGCACCCCAAATGCTCTTCACCACGCTGTCTCTAAAACGCGGCCCTGACGCTCCCTTGAACGACTTTCCCCTCGATTTCCTTTTCTCGTCACGAGAATCCACTCTTTACTCAGCACTCGCTATCCCAGTCGCTCCTTGCTACAAACACCAACAGCGCGTCTGGTCTACGCGCACTACCACGCTCTTTACACATCGTGCTTACAGATCATCGTAATACGCCGAGATGAAGTCATTCGCCCTTTCCACGGCTGCGCTTATCGCAGGCCTTATCTCCACCACCACTGCGCAGACTCACACCGACTGTATGCGCCCTGAGGTCTACTTGCGACAGACGTACTGACGTAGACAGGCAACCCGCTCAACACCACAGGATGTCCCGACATGGAGGCGCTCGGCGGAAACGCCACCTTCAACTGGAACAAGACTGGTATCCCGAACAACGACAAGATCTGGCGCATGCCCAACCAGGGCAAGATCGACTGGAACGAGAAGGGCGCGACCTTTGCCATTGAGCGATCCGGCGACTCTCCCACGGCGAACTCGGTCTTTTACATGCTCTTCGGCCGCCTTGAGGTAGTCATGAAAGTGGCGACCGGCAAGGGTATCATCTCCAGTGCCATCCTGCAGTCCGAGGCGCTCGACGAGATCGACTGGGAGTTCCGCGGCGACGACAAGATGATCCTGACCAACTACTTCGGCAAGGGCGACACCGAGACGTACGACCGCGGCAAGGACTTTGATCTTGGCTTCGCACCCCAGGACGACTACCACAACTACACCATCGACTGGACGAAGGACCGCATCAAGTGGTATGTGGACGACAAGGAAGTCAGGGAGCTCACCCCGGAGGAGGCCAAGAACGGCACTCGTTACCCTCAAACACCAATGAACATCCGTCTCGGATCGTGGGCCGCGGGTGACCCCAACAAGAACGACCCTGGTGTTATTGAGTGGGCTGGTGGTGTGACAGACTTTGACAAGAGCCCCTACATCATGACGGTCCAGTCCGTCTACGCGGAAGACTACACCAAGGCTGCCAAGTACTCGTGGGAGGGCATGGACGCATCTGGTGACTGGGAGAAGGTCAAGGTCATCCAGTAAGTTTACGTACGTCTACCAACCAGCACAGAGCTAACAGGACACAGGGGTAAATCTGAAACCCTCGAAGAGATCAAGTCCCCCCATGGAGTCAGGAACCGCTTCAACGACCTTTCCAATGGCGCCAAGATCGGCATCATCGCCGGTATCCTCGGCTTCGTAGCCATTGCCTCCATCATCATCCTCTTCTGCTGCATCAAGCAGCGCCGCGCAGGCAGGAAGGAGGCGCAAGCACTCCTCGCCGAAGAGCAGAAGGAGGCTGCCGAGCTGAGCGAGTACAAGGCGCAGATGCAGGCCGGCAGATTCGCCATGGGGTCCAACAACCGCGTCTAGGAGCCACGAGGGGGGCGTAGTTGGAGTTGCGGATATAACAATTCTTAATAGGAAGGGGTTTTCTTGCAGCTGGAAGGCAGCTTTCCTTGTTGAATAGAGGCTGTTGTTCCCTTGTCATGTCAGTGTTACGACCAGTTGATTTCTTTGTTTCTTGCATGCTGTCCATTTCATATACCCTTGCGCTGCTTGTTGTCGACCAAGGCTATAGCTTAGTATTTAGTTTGCAATACACTTACCACGGCTTGATGTTGTGTGGTTGAGTTCTGACGGCATGCGGCTCTGCAGCAGCGCAGCGGCACAGTGCGTGAGATGCATTCACTCTGGTTGGTGGCGGCTGACATGTGACGGGCGTTCTCCACAACCCCGGACATATGGCATGCATGTGTGCGGCATGCGCCGGCTAACTTTAAGCTGCCTCGGCATGTGAGCGGCGGGCTTCCGTCGTTGACTTTCACAACTGCCACATTCGTTTCCTCAACTCTCAACCAATATTGCAAAATGGCTTCTTTTTCACGTTCAATAAGACCCCTCACTCGCGTTGCTACTGCCTCGTCGCGCTCGCTGCGACCGGCTGCCCGCGCCGCCCCGCAGTATGTATACACCACGAAAGTCACAATATACAAGACTAACACCATGGCCACCCAGATTACGATGCCTCTCCACGACCGCCGCCCGCCGGGAAGCGATTGACATCTCAGATGTGCCGCCGACGCCCATTACCCACCTGTCCGAGACGGAGATGCTCATGGGCGAGTCCGTCTCGAAATTCGCCAACGAAGCCATCCTGCCCAAGGCGCGAGCCATGGACGAGGCTGAAGCGATGGACCCCGCGGTAGTAGAGCAGCTATTCGAGCAAGGTCTCATGGGCATCGAGATACCCGAGGAATACGGCGGCTCAGGCATGAACTTCACATCGGCCATCATCGCCATCGAGGAGCTCGCGCGCGTCGACCCGAGTGTAAGCGTTATGTGCGACGTCCACAACACACTCGTCAACACGGCTATCCTGAAGTACGGCTCCGAGAAGCTCAAGAAGGAATGGCTTCCTAAGCTCGCCACCAACACCGTCGGTTCCTTCTGTCTCTCAGAGCCCGTATCCGGATCCGATGCCTTCGCGCTCGCTACAAAGGCCACACGAACAGACAACGGCTACAAG